TGCACGTTGCCTCAAAGTAAAGCTCCTTCTAAGTGAGCTCACACACGCAGGGCAGAGGCATAAAATAAAAGGCTCTTTTTTTCCCTTGGCAGCGGTAAGAAATAGTTGGCTTTTGACATCTTCCAAGATTCTTTCTTCCCCATTTTAGCCTCCAGCCCTGCTAATTCCTGGTGGTCTCCCATCTCTGCACAGTTTTCCAAGGGGAAGGCAGGCATGGAAGGGGTGCCAGATTCCCCCACAGCGCGGGAGAGACTTTAAGAGAATCGCCTGGCGGCAATATCTGTTTTCTTAATTTACTTTATTATTTTTATATGCCACTCTTTGCATAGATGGCTTACAATCAGTAAAAAAATTAATGAAAACTCATCAGGGAGAGAAGCATCCTGGAACTAAGGAGAAATTTCCTGACAGTTGGAACAATTAACCAGTGGAACAGCTTGCCACCAGAATTTGTGAATGCTCCAACACTGGAAGTTTTTAAGAAGAGACTGGACAGCCATTTGTGTGAAATGGTGTAGGGTTTCCTCTCTGAGCAGGGGTTGGACTAGATCAGGGTTTTCAACCAGTGGTACGGGTACCACCTGTGGTACGTTGGCACCTGGCAGGTGGTACGCGACCATCCTAGAAAGGGGGTAGCAGGGAAGGAGAATGAGCTGAACCAGTGGCAGCACAGCACAAGCCTGAGCGAGAGACGGCTGGAGCTGCAGGGCTGTCAGGGCTCAGCAGAAGCGCCAGGATCAGCACCAGGCTCCAGCTGGAGCTCGGCACTGATCCTGGGGCTTCTGCTGAGCCCAGAAGAAGCGCCGATCAGCTGGAATGTTGCAGCCTCTCCAGGGTCTTGTGATTTACATTCAGAGGCTTGGCAACTGATTCCTATTTATGACGGTCACAGTGTCCCAGGGTCTTGTGAAGTGACCAAAACCTGCTGCAACCACCCAGCGGACGGGGGGGTAATAAAGACCAAACACCCCCCACCCCACCCCTGCTGCCAATCCTCAACAGAAATGCTCACAACAATGAAAACCTCGGACAGGAGGAAGAGCACCGCCGGGCTGGCAGACAGGTGTCTTGCTCGGCTGTGGCTTGGGGGGCACTTTTTTCAGGGCCACTGTCACTTCGAAGAGTCACTAAGCGAACTGTTGTAAGTCGAGGACTACCTGTACGTCATCACTTTTTTTCCTTTTTTGGGGGGTCATCAAGTTTTGACACCTTGCTAGACGACTGGTGGTCCTCGGATATTGCCATATCCTAAAAGTGGCACAATGGGTGAAAAGGTTGAAAAGCCCTGGAGTAGATGACCTCCAAGGTCCCTTCCAACATTATTAATAATAATAATAAAAATAAAAACAATAAATAATAGCATCAAATTAGCTTAAAATTGACGAGGACTGGGAGGAAGGGAGCAAAATGCACATAGGGAGCAGGTGAGTTCTTAGCTTAGTCCAGGGCTAGGCAACCTGGGCTCTTTCATGACTCGTGGACTTCAACTCCCAGAATTCCTGAGCCAGCCATGCTGAGGGGAAAGGGAGAGGTTTCCAAGCTGAGCCAGGCTGGCTGAGGAATTCTGGGAGTTGAAGTCCACGAGTCATGAGGGGGCCAAGTTTGAAGACCCCTGGTTTAAATATTTAATTTTTTTCCCCCTCACAATCACATGATCAAAATTCAGGCATTTGGGCAGGGGTAGGCAACCTTGGCTGTTTTATGACTCGTGGACTTCAATTCCCAGAATTCCTGAGCGAGCCATGCTGAGGGGAAAGGGAGAGCTTTCCAAGCTGAGCCAGGAATTCTGGGAGTTGGAGTCCACCAGTCATGAGGGGGGCCATAGTTCCCCCATGCTGGCTCAGGAATTCTGGGAGTTGAAGTCCACCAGTCATAAAAGAGCCACGGTTGCCTATCCCTGACTTAGTCCATCACTCTTTCTCAGCCCAGCCCACCTCCTGGTGTCATTGTGGGGAAGATAGGAGACCGCAGAATCAAAGGGCTGGAAGGGACCTCATTTAGTGACCGTCTGAGGTTACAACAGCACTGAGAAAAGCTTATTTATTATGACTGTTCTTCACCCTTGGACCGTCACAGCCTCCCTGTGGTCACGTGATCAAACTTCAGAGGTTTGGCAACTGGCATGTACTCGCGAGGGTTGCAGTGTCCCCCACGGTCACCTGATCCCCCTTCTGCAACCAGCAAAGTCAACGGGGGAAGCCAGATTTCGCTTAACGTCCGTGCGGCTACCTTAACAGCTGCCGGGACTCACTTAACAACCGTGGCGAGAAAAGTTTGTAGAATTGGGGCACAACTCACTTAGCAACGGGGAGTTTGGGCCCGGCTGTGGTCATAAGCTGAGTTCCACCTGCAGCCAGTGGAACTCTCCACGCGCGGATCGGGTGGTCTGTTTTCGGCAACTTCCCTCAGGGCTTCCTGTGCTGAGAAGCGACAGCGGCCTGCGCACGCCTCCCCCCAGAGAGGGGCTGTGTAAATATTTCTGGTTGTCTGCTCCTCTCTGGAAACTGCAGGACAGATGAAGAGGAACAGGGGGGACGACGTAGACTTTGAGACGCCTGGCTCCATTCTGGTGAACACCAACCTGCGGGCGCTGATCAATTCCAGGACCTTCAATGCCCTCCCCCTCCACTTCCAGCAGCAGCTGCTCCTCCTCCTCCCTGAAGTGGACAGACAGGTAGGGTCCCCCCCCCATCTCTATCTCTCTCTTTTTCTCTTTCCCTCCCTCCCTCTCTCTCTTTCTCTCTCTCTCTCTCTGTGTCTCTCTTCTCTCTCTGTCTCTCTCTCTCTCTGCCTCTCTGTCTTTCTGTTCCTCTCTTCTCTCTCTCTCTCTCTCCTCTGCCTCTCTCTGTCTGTCTTTCCCTCCCTTTCTGTTTCTCTTTCTCCTCTCTCTTTCTGTGTCTGTCTCTCTCTTTCTCTTTCCCTCCCTTTCTCTCTCTGTCTCTCTCTTGTCTCTCTTTTCTGTCTTTCTTTCTGTGTCTCTCTTTCCCTCCCTTTCTCTCTCCATCTCTGTCTCTCATCTCTCTCTCTGCTGCACTCTCTCTCTCTCTCTGTCTATGTCTCTTTCTGTCTCTCTTTTTCCCTCCCTTTCTCTCTTCTCTCTCTCTTTCTGTGTCTCTGTCTTTTTCATTCCCTCCCTTTTCTCTCCGTCTCTGTCTCTCTTCTCTCTCTGTTGCGCTCTCTCTCTCTCTTTTTCTGTGTCTCTTTCCTTCCCTTTCTCTATTCTGTCTCTCTTTCTGTGTCTCTGTCTTTCCCTTTCCCTCCCTTTCCCTCTTTCTCTCCCTTTCTCTTCTCTCTTTGTCTCTGTTTGTCTATGTCTCTCTGTCTATGTCTCTCTCTCTCTTTCCTTTCTCTTCCTCTCTCTTCTCTCTTTCTGTGTGTGCCTCTCTGTTTTTCTCGTTCCCTTTCTTTCTCTCTCTCCTCTGTCTCTCTCTTCTCTCTGTCTGTCTTTCTCTCTTACTCCTCTCTTCTCGCTCTCTCTCTCTCTCTGTGTGTGTGTGTTTCTCCCTGTGTGTCTTTCTGTTTGTGTCTCTGTCTTTCTCTGTCTCTCCTTTCTTTCTCCCTCTCTTTCTCTGTGTCTTTCTCTCCCCCCACCCCCACCTTTGGAATGGAGTTGGTGCCGGTTTGGGCGCTGTGCTCACCTTCGCTTTGCTTCCTTCTAGGCTGGGACAGACGGGCTGCTGCGTCTGAGTGGAAGCGCCCTCAATAACGAGTTTTTTGCTCACGCTGCCCAGAGCTGGAGGGAGAGGCTGGCAGACGGTAGGTCTCCTGCTTCTGGGATGAGGGGGGGGGCAAGCCTATCCTTAGAGCAGGTGTCGGCCTAGCACAGGGGTGGGGAACAATGGCCCCCTCATGACTCATTGACTTCAACTCCCAGAATTCCTGAGCCAGCATGGGGGAACTATGGCCCCCTCGTGACTGGTGGACTTCAACTCCCAGAATTCCTGAGCCAGCATGGGGGAACTATGGCCCCCCCTCATGACTCGTGGACCTCAACTCCCAGAATTCCTGAGCCATTATGGGGGAACTATGGCCCCCTCATGACTTATGGACTTCAACTCCCAGAATTCCTGAGCCAGCGTGGGGGAACTATGGCCCCCTAATGACTCGTGGACTTCAATTCCCAGAATTCCTGAGCCAGCATGGAACTATGCAGCATCCCCGTAGTCACGTGATCAAAATTCAGGCGCTCGGGAACTGGCGTGTACTTAGGACGGTGGCACTGTCCCAGGGTCACCTGGTCAACCCTTACAACCTTCCCAGCGGGCTTCTGATGAGCAAACTCAATGGGAGGGGGAAGCCAGATTCTCTTCCTGCTTGCTCTTGTCCGTGTGCTGCTTTTCTGGATTTCCATGAAGCCAAACAAACTGTAATTCTTTCTTTCTTCTTCTTCTTCTTCCCCTTCCAGGGGAGTTTACTCACGAGATGCAGGTCCGCATCCGGCAGGAAATGGAGAAGGAAAAGAAGACGGAAGTCTGGAAAGAGCGGTTTTTCGAGGACTACTACGGGCAGAAGTAAGTGTCCGGTTTGGAAATACTGACGGGCAGCGTATAAGTTGAATAAATAATCGGCAGGTCTTTGTGGGAGCTGGCTTTGTTCCCCCACGGCTGTTGCCAGGGCCCAGGGCCCACAGATGTCTCCTGCCAAGACCCTCAAAGGGGTCCTGGACACCTTCCCTTCCCGTCACCAGGAGGGGATGTCCTCAGTGGGAACGCCTAGCAAGGAAGGCCCATCCAACCTCTGTGACATTTCTCAGGAAAGCTTAACGGGGATCCCTGGCCAGAAGCCTGTCAAGCGTAGGGGGTCTCCAAACGTGGCTAGTTTTAAGACTTGTGGACTTCAGTGGACTTCAGAATGACAATAAAGGTCATCTAATCCATTGGTTCTTAACCTTTTTGAACGAATAGCCCCCTTGAGCCAATGAGGAAGTTGTCATCGCCCCCCTCCCCCAACATAACCTCTCAACCACAACATAGGAAATAATTCTTCAATTTATGCAAACACTTTTTTTGTTTTCTTTCAAATTGTCATCTGGACATATCGATGCAAATAATTTATTTCCAGTCTTTTTCCCATATCTCAACTGTGTGAAAAATTTTGGTGCCACCTCCTGTCACTTTATTCCCAAACTTTGTGATACATGTATTTCATTATTTTCTTATTTATTCAAGACACTTAAATGTAATGACCACTGAAAACAAAATTCAATCCACTAATAGCGAGCAATCTGATGTTTTTGTACGACAGATATGCAGCGATTCACTGTACAAAAAAGTCTCAAAAGTGTCCCCCAAAACATCTCGCTCCATCTCCCCCATATCGCCCCCTTTTCGTTCCTTCACCCCCCTAAAAAACAAAATCGCCCAGGTTAAGAACCATTGATCTAATCTAAGCTTCAAGTCCCAGCATGGCTGGCTGGGGAACTCTGGGAGTTGAAGTCCACAAGTCTTAAATTCTGAAGCCAAGTGTCAATGCTGCAAATATTGTATATTCTTGCTTTTGACAATATGCAGAACTGTCTGGTATTTGTGGGGTTAATACAGAGCAGAAGGGGGGTGGGGGGTAAAGCCCGGGAAAGAAAGATGAAGAAAACCTTTGACCTTCACACTAATTGGATAATGTGAGATATGACGGCTAATTTAGGGAGGGAACATGCTGATAACTTAACTGCTCAGAGGACGAGCTAATTTAGGGAGGGAACATGCTGATAACTTAACTGCTCAGAGGACGAGAACTTAGATCCTAACGTCCCTTCGTTGTGCCTGTGCCGACATTTTGTAACATTAAAAGACTTTTAGGAAAATAAATGCCTGGAAGTTCTTTGGAATGTTTCATTAGCCGGAACCACATCGCCAAGGAGAGTCAAGTGGACGGCCTCTCTTAGTGGCGAGGGGCGCAAGGACCCCAACGCTGTGCCGGTTGTGAATCCACACCGAAGACGGGGTGCAGGCCGCCGGTGGGAAATTGTGGGAGTTAAGTCTTAAAGTGGCCAAGTTAGGACACACACACACACAGAGAGACACACACACACCGATCTAGTGGAATCGTCTGCCATCTGACTCCGTTCTACCCCCCTTGCAGGCTGGGCTTGACCACGGGAGAGCCGAACTCGGCGTCCGGCGAAGCGGAGAACAGGACCGTAGCCGCCTCCCCAGAAGGCCCCGCCAGGGCACCCTGCGCTCCCGCCACCCACCAGCCCGACGGGCACTTCAAGAGGCGCTCTCTCCGCTGCCGGAGCCGCCGGAACCGGCACAAGCTGCGCGAACCGGAGCCCTCCGCCCCTACCCCAGAGGCCTCGCCGCCGTCCTCTGCGGAGGCCACGCCGGTTGAGGAGAGGCCGGCCGATCCCTCCGCCAACGAACGCCAAGGCAGCCGGGCTTCTCCCCCAGCCGAGATGTCTCCGGAGGTGGCCAGGGTCCTGAGCAAAGTGGACGAGGCGGTGGCTGTGGCAGCGGCATCGGCGGCAGCCCCGGACAGAATTCCCAGCCTGCCTCTGGGGCCGCAGGAGCAGCAGAAGAGGAAGTGCTTCGAGCAAACCGCCTCTCCCTCTTTCCCCGAGAAGAAGCCGCGGCTGGAGGACCGTCAGTCCTTTCGTAACACAATTGAAAGTGTTCACCCAGAAAAGCCACAGCCCACCAAAGAAGAACCCAAAGTCCCTCCCATCCGGGTAGGAGAGCGTCTTGGCGCTGCGGCCTGCCTTGGCGGGGGGCCGGGAGGCGGTTCTGGGCTTCCCGGGCTTCGCCTGAGGCCTCGGGCTCAAGGGATCACGGGGCGACTTGCCGCTGCTCCCCCAAACATGCCTTCAGCTTGGGTCCCCGGGTGGGTCTCCCTCTGGGTCAGGAGGAAGGAGAGGAAGAGCGGGTGGGCACACTTGGGGCGGAGGGGGGGTCTGCCTTCTCGTGCGTGAGCAATCTCAGAAGGGGTCTAGAGAGGGGGAGGAATGCAAGGATCTTAACAGGAATCCCAGGGAGGTAATCCAGTTTCAGCTAGTAGCAAAACCACCACACTAGAAACCAGGCGACTGTGAGTTCTAGGCCTGCCTTAGGCACAAAAGGCGGCTGGGTGACTTTGGGCCAGTCACCAAGAGATTGTGAGTTCTAGTCCTGTTTCAGCCATGAAAGCTGTCTGGGTGACAGGGAGTTCTAGTCCCAGTTTAGGCACAAGAGCCAGCTGGGTGACTTTGAGCCAATCACTAGGAGACAGGGAGTTCTAGTCCTGACTTAGGTATAAGAGCCAGCTGGGTGACTTTGAGCCAATCACTAGGGGACAGGGAGTTCTAGTCCCGCCATAGGTATAAGAGCCAGCTGGGTGACTTTGAGCCAATCACTAGGGGACAGGGAGTTCTAGTCCTGCCATAGGTATAAGAGCCAGCTGGGTGACTTTGAGCCAATCACTAGGGGACAGGGAGTTCTAGTCCCGCCATAGGTATAAGAGCCAGCTGGGTGACTTTGAGCCAATCACAAGGAGACAGGGAGTTCTAGTCCCGCCATAGGTATAAGAGCCAGCTGGGTGACTTTGAGCCAATCACTAGGGGACAGGGAGTTCTAGTCCTGCCATAGGTAGAAGAGCCAGCTGGGTGACTTTGAGCCAATCACGAGGAGACAGGGAGTTCTAGTCCCGCCATAGGTATAAGAGCCAGCTGGGTGACTTTGAGCCAATCACTAGGGGACAGGGAGTTCTAGTCCCGCCATAGGTATAAGAGCCAGCTGGGTGACTTTGAGCCAATCACTAGGGGACAGGGAGTTCTAGTCCCGCCATAGGTATAAGAGCCAGCTGGGTGACTTTGAGCCAATCACAAGGAGACAGGGAGTTCTAGTCCCGCCATAGGTATAAGAGCCAGCTGGGTGACTTTGAGCCAATCACTAGGGGACAGGGAGTTCTAGTCCTGCCATAGGTAGAAGAGCCAGCTGGGTGACTTTGAGCCAATCACGAGGAGACAGGGAGTTCTAGTCCCGCCATAGGTATAAGAGCCAGCTGGGTGACTTTGAGCCAATCACTAGGGGACAGGGAGTTCTAGTCCCGCCATAGGTATAAGAGCCAGCTGGGTGACTTTGAGCCAAACACTAGGGGATGGAGTTCTAGTCCCGGCTTAGGCACAAGACCCAGCTGAGTGACTTTGAGCCAATCACCAGGAGACAGGGAGTTCTAGTCCTGGCTTAGGTATAAGAGCCAGCTGGGTGACTTTGAACCAATCACTAGGGGACAGGGAGTTCTAGTCCCGCCTTAGGCAGAAAATCCGGCCGGGCGACTTCGGGGCAGTCATTCTCTCTCAGCCCAACCCACCTCACAGGGTTCTTGTTGTGGGTAAAATAGGAGGAAGACATCTTAGGGACGTTCCTCATTTTGAGTTATTTATAAAAAGAAAAATAAAGGCGGGATACAAATTAAATAATAGTGGGCTAATTCTCCACCTTTTTTCCTCCTTCCGGGAATAGGAAACCCCCCCCCCACACTACTGTTGCATCAACCATAATCGAGGTGGAGCTTTGCCCTTTCTAGCGCTAAAGCTAGGTGGAAGACCCCCGTCTCCAGGCCTTTTTCCCCAGGGGACTCTGGGAGTCGTAGTTCTGAGCCCTTTCCCAATCTGCGTTCCCCAGCATTCCTTGAGAAGGCAGCCTGGACCATTATGTTTCTGCCTCTCAAACAGTCCGGGGGGAGGTTTCCTTCTAAAAAATTAAGTATTTATAAAGGCTGAAAGAATTACAATTCTAAAAATAAAGAGTAGGCAACAGGGGAGGGCTTTTAACGTGCCGGCCTTGGGGACGGTCTCCAACCCCCCCCCCCTTGTTCTTCTTGTTTCTTTTCTCCAGATTCAACTTTCCCGAATCAAACCCCCCTGGGTGGTTAAAGGTCAGCCAGCCTACCAGATATGTCCTCGGATTATCCCCAATCCAGAACCCGCCAGGTCGGACAGAAGGGGCAGCCCAACCTCTGCTGACTCTCAGGCCTGTCCTCTGCAAGGCCGAGTCCAGCGAGCGCCTGCTGCTCCTGCCTCCACCATTGGAGGTGGGGGTGGGCCAGGAGGCGGCGGAAGGGGTCCCGACGAAGGCGGTGGTGGTTGTCGCAGCAGCAGCAGCAACAACAACAGCAGGGTCCGGCCGCCCCGGAGCCACCGCGCCAAGCACTGGCGATCCAAGAGAACTCGCGGGAAGCGCTGGTCAGATTTACAGCGAGCACAGTTACTGCCGCCTTCCCACCTAGACGGGAAGACCGGCTGGCCGGTGCCTGAAGCCAACTTGCCTTCTGGGGCCAGAGAGCCCACCCGGGAAGGAGGGCGTGAGTTGGGTGGACAGGCCACAAGTCTGCCTTCCCAGGAAGCTGCTGTCCAGCGAGAGGAGCCTTCGGAAGGCGGCACCCGTGATCGCAGAGCAGCGGAAGCGCCGGCCGTTAGTCCTGGGCAACTGTTGGAGGATCAGAGATCTCCGCTGTCTCCAGAAGAGGCTTCTCTGGAGGGCCATACCCGGAAGGAGAGAAGGGAATCTCCCGTGGGAAGCCAGCGGAGCAGTGGCTGGCTAGGAGACGCAGAAAGCAGGAAGGAGGGCCGTGAAGATGACCGTCCCGCCATGTTGGACTGCACCACTGCAGCACAAGCCGGCTCCCTTGATCTGGCTCCAGAGAGCAGCACAAGAGTCAGCTCAGCGGCTTTGGGCTCCCCTGCATGGGAGGGCGTGCCAGTGCACCCCACTCCTGCTGGGACGGAACTTCCACCCTCCCAGCCTCAGAGGGCCGCCCCTGGCGCTGGAAGAGGGGCCCGGAGTAGCCCAGAGGAAGCTTCCCAGGCGACAACAGGCCTGCTCCCTCCGTGCCTCGAGGCAAGTGCCCACAAGAGCCACCTGTCCCCAGCAGAGGCACCCTCGGGCATGGAGGTAGAGACTGGCCGAGAGCGGGCCGAGGCAGGGCCGAACGCCAGCCCCAGCAGCAGTGAGGGAGCCCGGAGTCCGCTGAGCGAGACCACAGAGACTGCCTCCGATTTGGATGCTGAGCTCACCGATGAGAGTTTGGAAATAAACCGGGATTGTCGCCTGGCGGAAGTGAGGGAAGCCGGGTCCAACCAGAGGCACCCGGAGGAACGCAAACAGGTCGTCTTAGAAAGCGGGGAAGATTTGCCTTCCGTCGTCGACGTTGCCAACGCCCCGTGCGGGAGAAAGTCGCCCTCTGCTACCCTCGCGGCAGGAACATCGGTTCTCCCCGTTTACGTCAAAATCCAGGAAAGGCCCCGCTCAGGCATCTCCCAGCCTCTGTCCGCCGGAGCGAGCAAGCCCCTCGAGGGGCAGGGGGTCACCCAGGGCCTGCCTCCACGAAGCGTTCTGCCCTCTTCCGAGGCGGCTAAGAGCAGGGACCGCCTCGTGCTGGACGCTTCTTACGAGGAGGGGACAGTCCTGACTGACCCAGCCGGGAAGGCCGCTTGTCCATCCCAGCTCTTGCGGGACTCTGCCGGAAGGCCCTGCCTGCCGGAGACAGCCTCCCTGCCTCCAGAGAAGAATCCCAATTCGGGATCCCTGGATCAAGCCGTCCGTCAGTCCCAGAAAACAGATCTCTTGAATCTGGGAAAGAATCACATCTCTCCCACTCTTCATCCAGATCAAAGGGATTCTCCCTGGGCAGATTGTACCCCTGGCGTCGGAAAGCTGGAAGAGAAGCTCAAGACGGCCCCGGAACCCAGGTTCGTGACCTCTCTGGGACCCGGGCAGCCAAACAACGTTCCTGCAGAGAAGACCCCTGCAGCTCTGGGCAGGAAGGTCTTCGGCTCGGGCATCCCCTCGGGCGGGGCGGCAGCCAAGGCCCAGAAGCCCCAGGGCTCCGAGCCTTTCCCCATGTGGGGCATGCTGTCCCACAGCAAACTGGTCTGCCCCACGCCCAAGGGTGCTGCCCCTGGAGCCGGCTTGCCTCCTGCAAGGGAGGGTGGGCCCTCCAAGCGGGACGAGAACAGGAAGGTCCAGGCCTCGGTCCAGAGAAAGAGGGAGCCGCCGAAAGAGGCCCCTGCCAAGTTGAGGGAGCCTTGGCAGAGCCTCCCTTTGATGAGAGACCTGGCTTTTTTCAAGCTGCCGAAGGAGCCGGGCAAGGGGGCCCCGCAGCCCCTGGAGCCTTCCTCCCTGCCTTCCCAGCTGAACATCAAGCAGGCCTTTTACCGGAAGCTGTCCAAGCTGCAGCTGAATTCCGCCTCTTCGGCTGGCAGCCCCTTTTTCCCCAGAAGCCTGGAAGGCAGCCACGCCATGCCCTTTGGCCCCAAGGCCAACCTGACGGCTTCTTCCCGGGGCGGGCTGTCTTTTTCCGCCCAGGTGTTTGCCGAGACGGGCAAAGGCATGGAGGAGCTCTCCCTCCAGTGCTCCTGCAGCCTGAAAGCCATGATCATGTGCAAGGGCTGCGGCGCCTTTTGCCACGACGACTGCATCGGCCCTTCCAAGCTTTGCGTGCTGTGCCTGGTGGTGAGATGACGCTCGCAGCCCCGGGAAGGAGAAGCAAGCTGTATATTTGAGCGAGGGAGGAAGAGGAGGAGGAGGACGCCGACCAGGAACAAACCTGTATGCAAACAAGATTCTGGTCCTTAAACAAAGGCAACGTTGGTGCTGTGTGTCTTGGGTTTCCCTGCTAGGGGTGGCAGGTCAGACACGGAGACGGGCTGGTTTCGGGGGGGCGATTCTCACCCACCGAGGAACTGTTGAAGATTTGGCACTGTTGGCGCCCCGGCCTGGGACTGTTCTGGCGCCGTGGGGCGGGTGGGGGGGGGAGAGCTGAGACACCCCCCCTTCCTGTTGGAAGGCCGATCCAGCTGATTCTGTCTTCCACTTTCTCTTCCTGCCACCCTCCCCGAACACTGGGGAGAGTCCACCCGGAAATACAGGGCGGTGGGCTTCAAGAGCTGGAACGCAGGAGGGGAGAACAGGAGGCCCCCCCACCGCCTCCTCTTCCCGCGTCCAGGAGGACTTTTTCACTTTCTAAGCAGTGTCATCTTTTTTCTGTTTTTTTTTTAAACCCCCCCCCCCATACGTATATAAATATAAATCTATAATATAATTTTTTTTGTTGTTCTTGGGTGTAAAAAAAAAAGTGGAAACCCGTTTGGCACCTCTCTGTACCTTCTATGCATCTGTAGGAAACACGTCTTTCTTCAATCCGTTGTACACAGCTCACTGGCCACTTCTGTAAAATGGGTGTTCTGTACATAAAAAGCTCTCTTTTTTTTTTTCCTTCTTTTTTTTTTTTTTTTTTTTGAACACCCCCCCCTTTTTTTTTTTTCGTTTTATTTCAGGCTACCCACAGTATTGCATTTGTAGAGTAGTGTCGGTTACGAAGCGCCCTCCACCAACGGCTGTACCCCTCGTCCTGCGGAGGGGAAGGGGGAACCCCTCCTGTGGATCCCCCTAGATTTGAATCCGTCTCCCAGGAGGCAAGGCCCACTCTCTTCCCTCCCCCCCCCCCGGGAAGGGCCCGAAGACCTCAACCCAAGGCCCCCGTCATCTCCCTCCCCTTGACCTACCTACCTACCTACCTACCTCTTCCTTTCTTGACAGTCTCCCTCCCCTTGGCTTTCACCGTAGACCTCCTGCTCAAGTGACAACAACAGCCTAAAAAAAATAATAACACCTGGGCTCTCCTGCCCGGGCAGGTGAGCGCCATTCCCAGTCAAGGTCTCCTGAGCAGGGAAGGCCAGTTCAAAGGGGAGTGGGTGGTCTTCAGAGGTGAATCCACAGAGGGTCTGAACCTGCTTACCAAAGAATGGGCTTCCCCCAAACCCCTCCCTTGCTTCTGACCCCCTCTATCCTCCGGGGGGGGGGGAGAGATGTGTGGTTTGTGTACAGATGGAGCCTGGGCTGATGGGGGAAGGAGGGGCAGATCTACCCTGATGTTATATGTCCCTTGTGGTATGGAGAAAAAAAATAAATAAAAAAACATTTGCAACAGCTCAAACCCGGCTTTGCAACGCTCCTTTTTCCAGCGGCATCTCTTTGTGAGCGTTGTGGACAAAGGAGGGGTGTGTGTGTGTCAAACCAAGCTGAGTGGACGTAGACAGCCTTATAGATGTAGCCCGGATGGTCGCCTTTTTTTTTTTCCCGTCCCCCCAACAACCACCCGCTTGAACAGGAGAAACAGCGCCCCATTTTGTGTCCTCTGGTTGTCGGTATGCTTCTTGGGCTGTTGCTTCCTTTGCCGTGCGTGCAAGTCTTTTGCACGGACTCGGACTTTGGTTTGCGAAGTCGGGGGTTCACCCCCGTCTCTTCCTGCAGCCGCTGGGTGTGCCGAGCGTCCCCCACCTTACGGTTCAACCCCTTAGTTGCGCCCCAGGCCATGGGGGAGAAGATACAAGGAGTGCTCGGCTTAACGACCGCAACGGAGCTCGACATTGCTGCTGCTACACAAGACGGCGATGGAGTTTTGCCCCGATTTTGTGACCTTCCCCCCCACACTTGTTAAGCAAAACACTGCAGCTGTTAAGTCAGTAACACGGTTGTTAAATGAATCCAGCTTCCCCCATTGCCTTTGCTGGTCAGAAGGTTGCAAAGGGAAATAATCAGGTGGTCCTGGGAGACGCTGTGACCGTCGTTAAGTACGAACCGAGCGTCTGAAATTCAGTCGTGTGACCACTGCGGCGGTCATTGAGGGAAAGCAGTCCTAAGCCGCTTTTTTCGTGCTATCGTAACTTCAAATAGTCACTAAACCAGTGTTTCTCAACCTTGACAATTTTAAGGCATGTGGACTTCAACTCCCAGAATTCCACAGCCAGCAATGCCTTAAAATTGTCAAGGTTGAGAAACACTGCACTAAACGAACTGACTTCAAGGACTACCTATAGTCCAGAAGTGTGTGTGTGTGTGTGTGTGTTGGTAACGAAAAGTACACATTCTCCAGTCTTGCACCAGTGTTTTGAGCCAGATGCCATGGGGTGCCCTCGGCAGGCACTGCCTGCGGATTTCTTGCTATCATTTACGGAGCGCCAGGCCTTGGAAGGGGAAGAGACGGACTGCTCAAAACGACCGCAACGAGGCCCAAAATGTCCGCTGCTAAGCAAAAGAATTGTTTAAGGGAGTTTTGCCCCCGTTTTGTGACCTTCCTTGCCCCCGTTAAGTGAACACTGCAGTTACGTTAGTAATATGGCTGTCAAGCAAATTGGGCTTCCCCCTTGACTTTACTTGTCAGACAGTCGCAAAAGGGGATCAGTGGTAGAAGAGGGGGGTTTGCAGGGAGGAGGAGGAGGGCGTTTCATGACCCACCTGGGTAACATCATCCGTGCCACAAAGAGGGTTTGCTCTCTGTTTATATCAGTGGTTCTCAACCTCTTTAATGCCGCAACCCCCCCCCAACCAGTCGTAAGTCAAGGACTACTCAACCGGTCGTAAGTCGAGGACTACTCAACTGGTGCAGCACCGTTTGCAGAATGGGACTTTTGGCGGGCTCAGCAGGGCAGACACAGCCTGGACAATTCCTATTGCTGGCTGTGGAATTCTGGGAGTTGAAGTCCACATGCCTTAAAATTGTCAAGGTTGAGAAACACTGGTCTAGGGTCTCCTGCTTGAGCGGAGGGCTGGACTAGAGGACCTTCAAGGTCCCTTCCAGCTCTATTCTGACTTCCCAGAGAGGACAGCATGCCGGTCCTCTTCAGAAACCCGATCAAGCTGTCGTTAGTCCACAAGCCCCGCCTCGTGCACCAATGAATCGGTTCCTCCACATCAGTGGTTCTCAACCTTTTTAATGCCGCGACCCCCAACCGGTCGTAAGTCGAGGACTACTCAGCCGGTCGTAAGTCAAGGACTACTCAACCGGTGCAGCACCGTTTGCAGAATGGGACTTTTGGCGGGCTCAGCAGGGCAGACACAGCCTGGACAATTCCTATTGGCTTTTGAAAGCCAATAGAATTAGACTCTATTCAAGAGAGTCTATTCTATTGGCTTTCAAAAGCCAATAGAATAAAAGGGAGTAGCACAGCTAAGGAAAAGGGGGAAAAAATGGCGGACTGCGTTGTTTGGCGACCCCCGTGAAATGGTCGTTCGACCCCAAATGGGGTCCTGACCCACAGGTTGAGAACCACTGGTTTATATACAAGTGGCTTGCCCTGTCAATGTCGGTTGCGAGTGTCCTTGGTGGTTCCAACAATTAATACATAACATTCCGTAGTATATAACTTAGGGCAGGGGTAGGCCACCTTGGCTCTTTTATGACTGGTGGACTTCAACTCCCAGAATTCCTGGGCCAGCCATGCTGAGGGGAAAGGGAGAAGTTTCCAAGCTGAGCCATGCTAGCTCAGGAATTCTGGGAGTTGAAGTCCCCAAGTCATAAAAGAGCCAAGGTTGCCTACCCCTGACGTAGGGCAATACTTAGACCAGTGGTTCTCAACCTTTCTAATGCCGCGACCCCATAATACAGTTCCCCATGTTGTGGTGACCCCCAACCACTTATACATCACCGGGTGCCAGGGGCATGGCCAAAGAAAAGGGGGAAAAAAATGGCGGACAGCCTTGTTTGGTGACCCCCGTGAAATGGTCATTCGACCCCAAATGGGGTCCCGACCCACAGGTTGAGAACCACTGACTTAGGCAAAACATACATAAACAACAAATCCCACTCCCTTCTAGCCATCGTGATGTCATCTAGCTCAGCGGCCCCCAATCGTTTGGGCACCAGGGACCCGTGCCTGTTTTTTCTGTGCGGTTTTGTGTGCTGCTTGCATCCCGCGGATGGGGCTTTGTTTGTTTGCACGGGCCGGTTTTTGGCACGCGTGGGCCGATACCGGTCCACGGCCTGGGAGTTGGGGACCCCTGATCTAGTTGGGTGCTGAAAATGTCTGCAAGAAAACTGCCACACTCAAAGAGCACCAAGGGACCCACACCCTCCTCTTCCCCTCCACCAACTCCTAGCACTGATGATGTTCCCTAGTAGGGTCATGAAAAGTCTGCAAGAAAACAACTTGAGCTCAGAGAGCACCAAGGATCCCACAGTCCTCTCTACACACACGCCTCCCTTCTAGCACTGATGATGTTCCCTAGTTGGGTCATGAAACGTCTGCAAGAAAACCACCCAGCTCAGAGAGCACCAGGGACCCCACAGTCCTCCTCCATCTCTCTACACACTCACCTCCCTTCTAACACTGATGATGTTACCTAGCTGGGTAATGAAACGTCTGCAAGAAAACCCAGCTCAGAGAGCACCAGGAACCCCCCAGTCGTCCTCCTCACACACTCACCTCCCTTCTAGCACAGATGATGTCACTTAGTTGGGTAATGAAATGTCTGCAAGAAAACCACCCAGATCAGGGAGCACCAGGGACCCCACCGTCCTCCTCCTCCTCCTCTACACAAGCCATACTCCCTTCTAGCACTGATGAGGTTACCTAGTTGGGTCATGAAACGTCTGCAAGAAAACCACCCAGCTCAGAGAGCACCAAGGACCCCACAATCCTTCCTTCCTTCTTTTCTCCTCTTCCTCCTCTCTGCAAGCCCCTCTCCATTCTAGCACTGATGATGTTACCTAGTTGGGTAATGAAATGTCTGCAAGAAAACCACCCAGCTCAGAGCGCACCAGGGACCTCACAGTCCTCCACCTCTCCACACACTTCCCTTCTAGCACTGATGGTGTTGTCTAGCTGGGTGATGAAAACGTACAGCCAAGCCTATTGAGCATCAGGGAATCCCCGCCCCCATCCTGAGCTACCAGTATTCTCTTTGTATCAATCTGTAGATTCTCGTTTTTGACCCATCCCCGGTCTTAAGAGAAGCCGCTTCCCCTCCCCCGAGTTGGGAAGGCAAGATCCGTTCCGTTTGTTATACAGTGTTTATTAAGTAGATTCAGTCTTATATGATATACAAACTCCCCCCCCCCAAAAAAACAAAACAAAAAAAATTCCACATACTTATGAAATCAGTGCATTTAGCAAGTAATACCATGAATGGAAAAGAACCGCTTGGTTTTAAAAACAGCTCGTTGGTCTTTTTTTTTTTTTCTCCTTTTTTTTTCAGTGAATAGGACGAGGAGATTGGCCTGTGCTACTCGTTTCACAAACAGAACAGAATTCGAAGTCGCATCACGTTAAAAAAAACCAAAACACGCGAGCTAAGAATTAAAATATTAAAGCCACGTTTACTGGGAAGAAGGGGAGGGGGGGAAAAATAATAAGATCCACTGTCTAGAACACATAAAAGGAGGGGGGGGGAATGAGATTTCCATCGCACATTGAGGAAGGGGTGGAAAAAAAAGACCTCATCTGCTTAGAGCCACGTGAAATTTGCATAGGTTGCCCGTTAGGAAGGAAGGAAGAACGAACGCTTTTTCGAAGGTTTCTGACGGACTGACGTAAGCGAGGATTGCCTTGGTCCGCTGCTTTTAAGTGCCTTGGTTTGGTTTTTTTTCCCCATCTCTGGGGAAGGGGAAAATGGGTGGGCTTAGTTCAGCTCTGTAACTGCCCCAGAGGGCTACTGCTTTGGTTGCCCTCCTTCCCGATGGTTGGGGTGGGGGAACTCACCAGCCACTTGACCCTCCTGCAGTTGCCAGAGGGGGATGCCTGGCCTCAGCGACCTGCAGACCATCATTCACGTGGGTTTTATCAGTGGCGGGTTCCACAAGCCACTCGTTACTAAGAGGGGCCGTGCTGTTACCTGGCTTTTGCTTTAACTCGGGGTGTCCAGCCTCGGCAACTTTAAAGACTTGTGTGCTTCAGCTCCCAGAATTCCCTGGCATCAACGCATTCCTTCTCACGTGCCGCTCCCATTTTGGGCCTGCTTGCTCTCTTGTAATTCTTTCCTCTGCAATCTCTGCAGAGATTGTAATCCCTTGCTCTCTCGTAATCCTTTTCTCTTCGATCTCTGCAGAGATTGTAATCCCTTGCTCTCTCGTAATCCTTTGCGATCTCTGCAGAGATTGTAATCCCTTGCTCTCTCGTAATCCTTTTCTCTGCGATCTCTGCAGAGATCGTAATCCTTTACCGTCAAAACGGGCCTGGCTGGCTGGGGGAAGTCTGGGAGGTGAAGTCCACAAGTCTTCAAAGTTGTCGAGATTGGACATCCCTTGTCTTTAGGATGTCAAGCTGGCCGGAGGGGACCAGCATGGTGGGCCCTGTCCTACCAGCCCAGCCCCATGGGCCTCGGGGAAACAGGTTGAGCGGATCTGTGGCTGCACTAAGCAGATGAGGCAGGGGGTGAGGTGGGTCTTCCTCGCCAAGGCGAGGGTCTCGCCGAACACACGAGGGGCGCTGGGAGTTTTCTGTACATGTAAACAGTACACTTTCACTGAGTCCAAAGTCAGGAGGAAAAAAGTACAAAGAATTCACGTTGGTCTTAGGTACATTACAGATGAAGAAGAAAGAACGGAGCGGATCCGTTCGGAAACGACCACCGAGAGAGAAAAAAAAAACTTTTTTTTTTCCTTTTCCTAAAAGCACCACGAAAATGGTATAAAAAAATCATCAAGACCAGGGACAGATTGTTTCAATCGGTTATTTCCCCCCCGCCCCCGGTGGAAATTGCTAAGACTACCTTTGTAAAAAGTCTTACAAAAAAGAAATACAAAGCAAAGTTGTATTTTTTTTTTCAACCCTCTGAGTTCAAAGCAGCATTTCCCCCCCCCCGAAAGGGACCGATAATTGAGGGGATGGCCAGCGACGAAAAAAATCGGGCCTCTAAAAGATGGGGCAGGGGGCTTGGGGTGGGTGGCTGGGGTGTCCTGCCAAATGCCTTTCCCCAGGTCCAAATGCTGCTGCGCCCCCCCCCATTGCCAAGAGGGCAGCAGCCGAGCCCCTCCCACAAATACACCCCAGAGAACTGGCCTGGAAAAAGAGGACTTCCTGGTGGGTCAGCCTCCAGGACAGACCCCTGCCCAGGTGTCCCGAGAATCTTAGAAAAACATGGCTTGTAGGATCGACTTTTTCCGATCCAGAGAGGGATGGCTAGTCAAACTCAAGGCGGAGTCAAGTGCCACCTCTTGATGGTCTCAAGGAGCCCCTTCGGGGACCCCCAGACGTGTGAAATGGGGGCAGAGGGGGATGGGGGGGAGCACCGGCTGGTGCTAAGGGACCCCAAATTCCATCGAAGGAGCTGTTTTGCCTCTGTCCAGTCTGGGTCACCGGCCTCCGCCACCCCCTCGCCAAAAATTGCATGGCGGCCCCCCTTCCCCAAATCCTGATGTGCCCCGAAGTTGCAGACGGAAGGGGTGCGGGGTACGGGGGGGGGAACCTTCACGTGTTTCCGGACAGCGATTGTCTCTGCCGCTGTTGCACAATAAGGGCTTTGCACGAGGGTGTTTGCGTGTCAGACCCGGTACAAGAACTATTTACACAAAGTTGGGGGGGCCCCTTGGGACGGGAGGGACGACGGTCAAATCAAGGGGGGGACAGATAGGATTGCTAGCAAAGACATGGATCCTGTCCTCCACTGTAAGAGTCCCCCCTTTCTTGGTTTGGGGACAGCTGGGGGGGGGAAAGAGAGGCTGGCCCCTTCTCCTCGGAGGGCAGCCTTGCTGTCCCCATGCCCAGCAAAGCCTTGGGGGGGGAGCAGATGGTCTCGGGTTCAAATCCCGGCCTGACTCTGGAGCACCAGAGAGAGGAGAAAGTAGATGGGTTTAGCATAGGGTTTAAGCCATGTGGACTTCGACTCCCAGAATTCCCCAGCCAGCTTTGCTGGCTGGGGAATTCTGGGAATCGAAGTCCACAAGCCGAGGTTGGTTGCCCCTAGCTTAGGAGAAACCTACATTGAAATGACGCTCCCTGGATGGGAAGGAACGGCTGCAAGTTAGCCTGCCCGTTAGCCAAAAATCTGAGACGCCCTCTTTGCCCAACCTCGCAGGGCTGGCTCTTCCTTTGGGACATGGTGGGGAGCATAGGACAGGGCCAGGAGGGCAAAACTGGGCCAGCTCTCTTCCCCAAGCCAATTCCGGTGGTTGCTGCTGAGGCTGTTTTTGCTAAAACCGCCTGTCGGCTGCCCCAGCACCTCCGTTCCCTCTTATTTTATATATATATATATATAGCAGCACAGTCAATATTGCACTGAGCAACAAAGCAAGTGCGTTTGCATTTGCAAGGCGGCGGTTGGGGCAGGTTGGAGGAGGAGGAGGAGGAGGAAGAAAAAAAGGGGGCTCAATCCCTTTGCACACACAGACACACAAAAATCAGGCTCCGGCAGCCGTTCGGTGTGCCTCTATGTCTTGGCAAACCTACTGGCACAACTCAAATGGGCTCCTGCTCGCCCCTCTCCATACACTTTACATTTTGGGGGGGGGGTTCTTGCCACTCTCTCAGAAGCCCTGCAGCCAGGGGCCACCTTGGGCTCCTCAAAAGTGAGCTGGGGCCAGCAGGGAGCAGCCAGGAGTGAGGTAGAGTGTGGAGGAGGAATGGGAGGAGGTGGTGAGGACGAGGAGGTGGTGAGGTAAGGGGGAGGAGGAGGTGGTGGTGATGATAAGGTGGTGAGGACGAGGAGGAGGTGGTGAGGGCGAGGAAGAGGTGGTGAGGACGAGGAGGTGGTGAGGTGGTGGTGGTGGTGAGGATGACGTGACGATGTGAGGATGAGGAGGAGGTGAGGATGAGGTGAGGTGGTAAGGGGGAGGAGGAGGTGGTAGTGGGGATGAGGTGGTAAGGGTGAGGAAGAGGTGGTGAGGACGAAGAGGTGCGGAGGAGGTGGTGGTGAGGATGACGTGAGGACAAGGAGGAGATGGTGAGGACGAGGTGAGGTAAGGGGGAGGAGGAGGTGGTGGTGAGGATGAGGTGGTGAGGACGAGGTGGTGAGGTGGTAAGGGTGAGGAAGAGGTGGTGAGGATGAGGTGGGGAGGAGGTGGTGGTGGTGGTTAGGATGTGTTGGTGAGGACGTACTGAGGATGAGGTGGGGAGGTGGTAAGGGCAAGGAGGTGGTGGTGAGGACCTGGTGGTGAAGAGGAGGTGAGGACAAGGAGGTGGTAAGGGTGAGGACGAAGTGATGAGGACGAGGTGGGGAGGAGGTGGTGGTAAGGACGAGGAAATGATGAGTAGCAGGAAGGCCGGGGTGCTTTGGCCCTAAAATGAGCCCAGAAAGTCCTTCCAAGACTGGCTTCGGGCCCCAGTGTGCCTCCCCCCCCCGGGCAAAAGCGGGGATCAAGTGGCCCAAAGGAAGGAAAAAAACCAAAGCAGCGCCGGCTTTTCCCCTGCTGGCTTCCGACGCCTGGCTGCTCCCTTCGCGGGACAGCTGGTGAGACGATGCAGGACCAAACCCCTTCCTCACTTAGAGACATAAAAAGTGGCAATTCTTTACAAACTCAAGAATCTTTTTTTTCTTTTTTTAGGGAAAAAAAAATAAATTATGGGGAAGGAGGAGAATAGAACCGGGGGGCTGGAGGGACTGGGAAAGGTCTGGAGGGACCGGACTGGTGCATTTCTCAATAAATATGCAATTCCTAAGAAAGAAGATGGGACGGGGGGGGGGAAGAAAGAGGGGTGTCTAAAGTAGCCGGGCTCCGCAAGAAAATCCTGACTCTGCCTCAAGCTCTCTGCCAGCCCGAGCCCCCCTCCTCCTCCTCCCCCAAAACCACCGTGGTCCCCATCTTTCCAGACTGCAAGGCCGGCTCCGGGTGGCAAAGGGCACCGGCTCGGTCAGCTTTCAAAGGCAGAAGACTCCTGGGGTCCCCGGGGCTCCAGGTCGAAGAAGAACAAAAAGGAATCTCTCGGGGTCTCCAACCCTGGCCGGGGCGGTGATGGCGGCAGAGGATCGGCCAGTCCTGAGCAGATTGATCGAGAACGCCTGGGCCGAGGGGTGATGGTGATGGACAACGGTCTCTTCTGGCGCAGGAGCCCCCAGGCAGGCGAGCAGTCAGTTCTGGTGTAAAATGAGGTTTTCCAGTTCGTCGGCCGAGCGGAGGAGAAAGGCGGCAGACTCCCGGTAGCCGGCGATCAGCTGCCGCACGGCGCTGATCTCGGTTGGGCTGAGCTGGGCGGCCGGCACCCCCCGGTTCGTGCTGTTGGCAGGGGGGGTGGTGCTGGACGTGCCGCTTTTCATGCTGAGGTCAGTAGGGCCTGCAAACCGGAGGGGCAGTGGAGAGAAACACAGAGGCATCAGGTCAAGGGATGGACAGGATTTCTTTTTTTAAATATATATATAGAGAGAATAATAATGGAATGGAATCGAATGAAATAATAATGAATAGAACAGAATATATGGAATGGAACAGAATAACAAGAATAGAATAGAATAGAATTAGAATAGAATAATAGAATAGAATAGAATAGAATTAGAATAGAACAGAATAGAATAAAATAGAATAATAGAATAGAATTAGAATAGAATAATAGAATAGAATAGAATAGAATAGAATAGAATAGAATAGAATAGAATAGAATAGAATAGAATAGAATAGAATAGAATAGAAAATATGGGATGGGATGGGATGGGGTGGGATAGAATAGAATAGAATAGAATAGGAGAAGGAATGGAATGGAATAGAATAGAACAGAACAGAATAGAATAGAATTAGAATAGAATAATAGAATAGAATTAGAATAGAACAGAATAAAATAAAATAGAATAATAGAATAGAATTAGAATAGAATAGAATAGAATAGAACAGAAGAACAGAACATAGAATTGAACAAAACAGAATAGAATAGAATAAACAGAGAGTTGGAAGGGACCTTGGAGATCATCTAGTCCAACCCCTTGCTCAGGCAGGAAACCCTATATCATTTCAGACAAGTGACTGTCCAATGTCTTCTTAAAAACTTCCAGTGTTGGAGCACCCACAACTTCTGGAGGCAGGCAGGTTGTTCCACTGATTAATTCTTCTCACTGCCAAGAAATTTCTCCTTAATTCCAGGTTGCTTCTCTCCTTGATGAGTTTCCATCCGTTGCTTCTTGTCCGGCCTTCAGGCACTTTGGAGGATAGCTTGACTCCCTCTTCTTTGGGGCAGCGCCTGAGATACTGGAAGACTGCCATCATGTCATTTTATCAGGAAGCGGCTGTGCAATGCAGCATGCCATTTTTGCGCCCTAAGGTGCAGGGTTGGCCTGTTTTCACGCCCCGCGGTGTGATGGCGTCCCGTTTTCGTGTCCCGCGGCACAGTGGTGTCCTGGTTTTCACACCCTGCAGCGCGGCAGCAGCCCATTTTTGCACTGCGTGGCATGGCGTCGCGTTGTTTTCGTACCCCGCAGCTGCAGCACTAGCACGTGTGTGGGGGGGTGCGGCCCAGTGGCCAGCAGCCCACAGGTTAGGGACCCCTGGTATAGAGTTTCCTGCTTAAGCAGGGGGTTGGACTAGAAGACCTTCAAGGTCCCTCCTGGCTGTATTCTGATTGGGCTCCCTTCCTTACCGTTACTGTGATTCCCTGTCTGGAGTGGAGGAGTCGGCTGCAAAGTGCCTCCCAGCGTCCCGTAGCTGCGGTAGCTGTAATTCAGACTCCCGTTGATGTAGACGGGATCCTGGGAGAAGGAGGAGGAGGAGGCTGGCAGTGAGTACGACGAATGCGTGACGGAGGTGGACGAATCCCGGGACTGCTGCTTGTCGACTGAAACTGGCTCGTCCTGCAAGGGGAGAAACACCGGATGCGTTGCGTCAGGAGCAAAGAGAATCAGGACCCTCCGTGAGATTTCAGCCTGTGTCAGAGCTGCCATCTTCGGCTTGGCGCCTTGCTGCCATCCCGCCATCAACCGTTTGGGGTGGATGGGTGGAGGAGAGGAAATGGGCACAAAGCATGTATGGGGTAGAGATGAAAAAACAGGGAGGGGGTGGAGGCAGGTGTGACGGAAACCAGAGGTGTGAGAAAGCAGCCCGTCCCAGTCTTCAAGGCCATGAAGCTTGGGAACGGAATGCGAATTGCACCAAACGTCCGAGTGGTTCCCAAAATAGCTAGGTGGCACACCACTGGTCAGTGGCAAACTGGTCAACGGGGGAGGGCTGTGACGAAGGAGGAAAGTTTGTATCCTTTTGCATGGGAATACTCAGATCTAGCCTCGCTTTTACTGCAACCACTAAGCTTCAGTAAAAGAACCAATCGCTTCAACCAAATGGAGTCGATGGTCTTTCTTTCCTAGGGACTTTGCTGGGGCAGGTCTGACAGCGTGGAAAACAGCAATCACACAACCCCAGGAGGCTGGCAACATCCTAAATACAGGTAGTCCTCAGCTTAGGACCACAGTGGAGCTCAACCTTTGGGTTGCTAGCGGGACAATTAAGTGAGCTTTGCTCCATTTTACGACCTCTCTTGTGACAGTTGTTAAGGGAATCACTACAGTTGTTAAGTGAGTGACACGGTCATTAAGTGACTCTGGCTTCCCCGTTGACATTGCTTGTCGGAAAGTCACAAAAAGCGGTCACGTGACCCTGGGATACTGCGATACTAGTGAGTCAGTTGCCAAAATTCAGTTGGTCTGAATTTTGATCACGTGACCAAGGAGATGCTACAATGGTCATTGGTGTGAAAAATGGACATGTCACTTTTTCCAGTGCCGTCGTAACTTTGACGGTCACTAAATGAACTGTTGTTAAGTGTATAGTGTTACCTGTATAAGTGTTACCTGTATATGCCAATTGCCAAGCGCCGGTATTTTCATCCTGTAACCCTGGGAATGTTCTGCGATCATAAGTCACTTTTTTCAGTGCCATTGAGAATGGTCGCCAAACGAACGGTTGTAGGTGGAAGACTATATTATAGTAGAGTCAGTTTTAGGACTGACATGTGGCATGAATATAAATTCTGATCATGTAAGGGTTTGAAACAAACCAGGGTGCAGAATCGAGGATGGGATTCAGTGCCTTTTGGCAAGCGGTAAAGGGGTAACTTCTCCTGATATTCAAAGCCAGCAAATAACCCGATTCTGAATACAATGTACAGAATCGAGGATGGGACCTTGCGCCTCCTTGCAAGCGGTAAAGGGATAATTATCTCGATACTCCAGGCCAGCAAATAACCCAATTCTGAACACAATGTACAGAATCAAGGATGGGACCCTGCGCCTTCTTGCAAACGGTAAAGGGGTAAGCTATCCGGATACTCAAGGCCAGCAAATAACCCGATGCTGGGTCCCATACCTGCGACGTCTGGTAGATCTCAAGCCGCATCCGCTTGGCTGCTTTCCGGGTCTCACTTTCACAAGCAGCTGCCAGGATGTTCTCGGCCATGGCTGAGGTCAGGTGAGGAGGGGTCGGCCTGGTCTGAAGAAAAAGGACATTTTCAGGAAAGCTGGAACAACTGAATGTGGCTCTATTTATGGCTATACAGTTGAAAAAAAAGTAACGCTAGCAAGTGAGACTAAAAAAAGCAGAGAAAGGGGAGGAGAATCGAAAGATCTAAAGCAATTTTAAGATACATTGAGCAAGGATTCCATAGTCTTCCTCCTCCTCCCTTCTAACATTGATGATGTTCCCTAGTTGGGTCATGAAATGTCTGCAAGAAAACCACTAAGCTCAGAGAGCACCAAGGACCCCAGAGTTGTCCTCCTCCTCCTCCTCTTTATCCCTCTTCCCCTCCTCTTGTTAAACCCCACTCCCTTCTAACACTGATGATGTTACCTAGTTGGGTCATGAAACGTCTGCAAGAAAACAACCAAGCTTAGGGAGCACCAAGGACCTCCTCCTCCTCTTCTTCATCCTTTCGCCTCTCCCCCTCTTCATCTCTCTTCACCTCTTCATCCCCCTTCCCCTCCTCCCTGCAAACCCCACTTCAGGATCCACCTGTCAATCAATGTCTATGGAGATTCTCAAGTCATCCAGGTCATGGTTCTCCCAAAGAAGCTTTTTTTCACGAGGCAAGACTTTGCTTGTTTTTCTCTGAAGACGTTTCACTTCTCATCCCAGAAGCTTCTTCAGCTCTTCAACCCACCACCCTCCAGGCAGAGCTGAAGAAGCATCCTGGACGAGAAGCGAAACGTCTTCAGAGAAAAGCAAGCAAAGTCCAGTTGCCTCCTGAAAAGGCATCGTTGAGATCTGTCGGTCAAGGAAAGCAAACGAATGAATGGATTTAGCTTTCCTGGGGGGGGGGGGCTTTTCCCCAATGCCTGAGGGTCCCTTTCCAATGGGGAGAGCCGCTCTTCTTATCCTCCGCCCATAAGCAGAGGATTAAATCCCCTTTAATGCCAGGATGGGATCTGGCTCAGGAATTCTGGGAGTTGAAGTCCACGGGTTGTAAAGTTGGCAGAGCTGCCCACAGCCGCCAATTTCAGAGTGGTGGACTTCAACTCCCAGAATTCCTCAGCCAGCCATGCTGGCTGAGGAATTCTGGGAGTTGAGGTCCACCACTCTGAAATTGGCAGAGTTGTCCACTGCTGCTCCAGATGTCTGGAGGGGGGGGGAACACCGCAAAGACCCCCGCCCTCACCATTTCCATGCCGTTCTTCTTCATGCGGCGGCAGGATTTGAGGTAAGTGCGGATGCGTTTGCGCGCTCGTTCCTGGAACTCCGGGAATTGCCGGCTGCAGGATTCGATGATGGCCTGGATCTTCTCTTTGGGCTGCTTGGAGATGGGTACCATCCGGTCCAGGTTCTCGTCCACGAAGAGACGCACAAACATCTGCAGAGATAACGGGGAAACCGATCAGGCTTTTGCTCTCGCTGGGCCCGCGTTGAATGACGACCGGCGATCCTTGACTTACAGCCCGTTTTACAGCCTTTAAGCAGTCGTTAAGTGAACCGTGAGATTCCTAAGCGAATCTGGCTTCCCCTATTGGCTTTGCTTCGTCACTGGAAGCTTTCAAGAAGAGACTGGACTGCCATTGTCAGAAAAGGTGTAGGGCAGTGGTTCTCAACCTTTTTAATGCCGTGACCCCCAACCGGTCATAAGTCGAGGACTACTCAACCGGTCGTAAGTCGAGGACTACTCAACTGGTGCAGCACTGTTTGCAGAATGGGACTTTTGGCGGGCTCAGCAGGGCAGAGACAGCCTGGACAATTCCTATTGGCTTTGGAAAGCCAATAGAATTAGACTCTATTCAAGAGAGTCTATTCTATGGGCTTTCAAAAGCCCATAGAATAAAAGGGAGTAGCACAGCTAAGGAAAAGGGGGGGGGGGAAATGGCGGACTGCGTTGTTTGGCGACCCCCGTGAAATGGTCGTTCGACCCCAAATGGGGTCCTGACCCACAGGTTGAGAACCACTGGTGTAGGGTCTCCTGCTTGGGTGGGTGGGTGGGGGTTGGACTAGAAGACCTCCAAGGTCCCTTCCGACTCTCTTATTCTATTCGACTATCTGTAATTGCTTTAGTCTGGCAAGAGTCTGTCTGTAGGCGAGCAGCAATCAAGGAACTACTCAGAAGTTATCACCACCACGGATCGTTCTCGGTCCGTACATTGAACGCCTTTAGCCGCTCGGGATCCATGCCTTCTGAGTCGTTCATCTTGTCGTTGTCCTCGTGGTCGTCGTGGTCATCGTCGTCGTCGTCGGCAGTGGGAGCTCTGCCCACGGTCAGGTCTTCGGGACATCCGCTGACCTCCGTCTTGACCGAGTCGTAGCTGCCGGAGCTGTAGGGAGGGGACTGTCGGGAGAGGAAGAAGTCACCACCTTGAAGCCTCCGCTTAACCCCCCAACATCCTGCTGGGACTTCAGATTTCTCCCGGGGTCACTCACCCTTCCTGGGTCCACCTCTAGGTCTTTAGAGCAGGGGTCCCCAACTTTTCTGGGTTGGTGGCCGAAGGAGGGATGGTGCTGGTGGAGGTGCGTTTATGTGTGCGAGTGCACCCACGCGTGAACAGGGCCACATGCGCCCAAACAGGATCGTGATTGTGCGTGTGACGCAAACAGCCATGCACACCCATGCGACGCCGCAACACTAGCGCAAGTGGGGAGGGTGTCAACACTGCTAACATCGGATGTTTCGCATTGACAACAGATGGAAATGTAGCCATCTTTTTCCCTTCCACTTTTAGTTAGATGATGCTGGGAAGGGGAGGGGGGAATGTGAATGAGAGTCCAGCTAGACATAACAACATTAAACTTAGTGTGAGAATCAAGGTTATTGAGCCCAGAGCTGATTAAGAATTGGTGGGCTGGAGAGCTGGAGAGGAAGCCTGTGCTTCAAGCTAATTGGGGAATGTGATTTATGACTGTGAATTGGAGGAGGGACTTGTCCTTTGATACTATGTGCCCAGGGGAGGGGAATTCAGTTTTTGGCTTCGATTATGTAGTGCCGATGTTATGCTACTCCAATAAAAAGATTAAGGTAAACGATGCCTCGAAGTTCTTTTGAGTTTCAACTGTTGGAACATGACAGAGGATGTGAGTGCATCCACATGTGAACGGGGCCGCGTACAAACAAACGGGGTCATGATTGCACACATGATGCTAACAGGGCCATGCACGTCTGCACGAGGCTTGGGCGACGCTAGCACCAACGCAACGCCGCGATGCTAGCGCGAGTGGGGATGTTGCGCTTGCAGCGACACTAGTGCCAGCATGATGCTACAATGCTAGTGTGAGTGGGGAGTGCACTCGTGGCGATGCTAGCGCCCGGCCGACACGGCATTGCTGGAGCCCGCACAATGTCACAACACTAGCACGAATGGGGAGGGTGCGAGTGCATGCACATGTAAACGGAGCTGCGTGTGCACAAACGGGATCGTGATTGCACGTGCAATGCTTGGTGACGCTAGCACCCACACAACGCTGTGATGCTAGCGCGAGTGGGGATGTTGCGCTTGCAGCGACGCTAGTTCCAGCATGAAGCTGCGACACTAGTGCGAGTGGGGTGTGCGCCCATGGCGATGCTAGAGCCCAGCCGACACGGCATTGCTGGAGCCCACACAACGCCGGAACACTAGCACGAGTGGAGAGGGTGCGAGTGCATGCACATGTGAACGGGGCTGCGTGTGCACAAATGGGGTCGTGATTGCATGCGTGATGCTTGGCGACACTAGCACCCACACAATGCCGTGATGCTAGCGTGAGTGGGGCTGTAGCGCTTGCAGCGACGCTAGTACCAGCATGATGCCGCGATGCTAGTGCGAGTGGGGTCTGCGCTCGTGGCAACATTGGCGCCCTCCCGACACGGCATTGCTAGAGCCCGTGCAACACCGCAACACTAGTGCGAGTGGGGGGGGTACGAGCGTGCACACTTGCTTGCACTGGCCAGCCACTCACATGGGACAGTAGCCAACAGCCCACAGTTTGGTAGTGGGCCACGGACCACAGATTGGTGACTCCTGCTTTAGAGGATGACCAAAATCTCTTGGTGGTGTCAACCTCACTGATGTGCAGACACCTCCTGGCTAGTTATCTAGCCAGGATCAGCCTGGAGGTACCCCTCATCCACCACCCTGCTCTCCTTGAAGACAGGTGGACCCATTGTAACCCCACCTCACTTGTTATCCCCAAAAGGCCTTCTGATTCCTATCAGAAGGTCCCGGGAAAAGCAACTTTCAGCCACATGTTTGTCTAAGCCAGTGTTGGCCAAACCTGGCACCTCTGACTTCTGGGAATTCTGGGAGTTGAAGTCCACAGATCTTAAAAGGACCAAGGTTCACCAATACTAGTCTAATCCAAGCAACTATGTTCTAATGCAGGAGGTCTCCCTACTTGGCAACTTTAAGACTTGTGGACTTCAATTCCCAGAATTCCTTAGACGGCTGAGGAATTCTGGGAGTTGAAGTCCACAAGTCTTAAAGTTGCCAAGATTGGAGACGGCTGTTGTGACGTGTGGCTTCTCTGTCGTTTCTGAAGCCAACTCATCTGTTCCAAAGCAATGTGTCCCCAGTGTGATGGGGACAACTGCATGGGATACACCTGTGTTGGGCGGGCTTGGTGGGTGGGAATTCAACCCAAAATCAATTATAAGGTGACACTGGATTTCTAGGTGGGCTTTTGTGCCTTTTCATGGGATAATGCTCAACCCACCCTGAGGTCCTCAAACTGGACAAGGCCATCTCCTAACAAGTTCTCCAACCTCTAGTCTTCCACCTGCAGCGTAGGTGGGCCAGGAGCTAGCCACCTGACATGTCTATCCTCTTTTGAGGATCTTCCTGGGGGATTGGAGCAAGGTAGTGAAAACCAGCAGCCATGCTTTCTTCCTGTTCCTGCCCTCCTCTTCCCCAAACATATCTTGAGTTGGAAGCTTGGTCAACCTCAACTGGTGGCTGAGGATGGCTTCCCACAGGCTGGGGATCTCCTGAACCACATTCTCCAGGTTAGGAGGTCCCACAAAAACCAGGAGGTCATGGGACTCGGCAGCTGCGTGCGGGTGGCGGTGGCATCTTGACCAGGCGGAGCATCTGGACCCACCTCTGTTGTGCTTTTGGCTCCATACTTCGTCCGGCTGCGCAGGCCGTCGGCGCTGCAGCTGTCCGACTGGTAGGTGGCGGTGACGTGCGCGGTGGCCAACTTGTCGCAGAGGTTGATGGGCTGGTCCTCCGACGAGGCGCTGAAGTCCATGGGGGCGCCTGCTCCATTGCCGTTCACCTCGGCATAGGTGGCATCGCCCTGAGTGCTGCTGGAGGTGGACGGGTTCAACGTGGAGGAGCCGTTCCCGCTGCAACTCTCTGAAGAGGAGTCGTCTGCAATGAGAGAAAATGCGCTCACTGTCTGGATTACTGCAAGGCGCTCTATACGGGCCTGCCCTTGAAGACTATCCAGGAGCTTCAACTACGCTGGGGGGCTACTGCAATGGAGCCCAAAGCTTCTGTGCCTATGGGAGCTCTTGCCTTCTTGACACAGTTCTTAAGCGAATCATTGCCGTTGTGAAGTCAGTCGCACCGAATCGAGCTTCACCATTGATTCTGCGCATCGGAAGGCCGCAAAAGGGGATCACGTCTCACACACACACACACACACCCCGGGACACTGCAACTGTCATAAAGATGAAGCAGTTGTCAAGTGCCTGAATTTGGATCATGGGACCATGGGGATAATAATAATAATAATAACAACAACTGCTGCTGCAAGAAGATCACACAGACTGACTACAAGCAGCGTCATGACAAAGTAGCAACAATGGTGCATTGGAAGATCTGCAAGAAATATCATTTGCCTGTAAGCAAGAACTGGTGGGATCATAAAATAGAGAAAGTCATAGAAAATGATAAAATTAAACTGCTCTGGGACTTCAGAATTCAAACAGACAAGCACCTGCAACATAACACCCCAGACTTAATAATTGTCGATAAGAAACACAAAAAAGTCTGGATAGTGGACATGGCAGTGCCTGGAGACAGCAGAATAGACGAGAAAGAACTGGAGAAGATAACAAAATACAAAGACCTACAAATAGAAATAGAAAGACTGTGGCAAGAGCAAGCAAGGGTAGTACCAATAGTAATAGGCTCCTTGGGTGCAATCCCAAAACAACTGGAGCATCACTTGAACACCATTGGCATTGACAAATTCGCTATTAGTCAATTGCAAAAGGCGGCCTTATTAGAACCTCCTCCATCCTGCGACTTGCGACTGTTTTTCACATTGACAACCGTAGCGGCATTTCCCGTGATCATCTGATCAAACGTGGCAACTGACTCATGTGTATGATGGTTGCAACTGATCCCACCCAACCTGCAGATGATTCTCTTCCTCCTCCTCCTCTTCTTCTTCCTTTCTCCTCCTCTTCCTGATTCCTCCTCTTTAACCCTCTCCTCCTCCCCCTCTTCCTCCTCCTCTTTTCCTTCTACTTCCCCCTCCCCTTCCTTCCTCTTTATCATCTTCCTCCTCCCCTTCCTTCCTTCCTTCCTTCCTTCCTTCCCTTTACCCTCCTCCCCTTTCTTCCTTCTTTCCCTCCTCCTCCCCTTCCTTCCTTCCTTCTTTCCTTCCTTTCCTCCTCTTCCTTCTCCTCCCCTTTCTTCCTTCTTTCCTTCCTTCTCTTTATGCTCTTCCTCCTCCTCCTCCTCCCCTTCCTTCCTTTCCTTCCTTCCTTTCCTCCTCTTCCTTCTCCTCCCCTTTCTTCCTTCCTTCCTTCTCTTTATGCTCTTCCTCCTCCTCCTCCCCTTCCTTCCTCTTTATCATCTTCCTCCTCCCCTTCCTTCCTTCCCTTTACCCTCTTCCTCCTCCTCCCCTTCCTTCCTTCCTCCTTTCCTTCCTTCCTTCCTTCTCTTTATGCTCTTCCTTCCTTTCCTCCTCTTCCCCTTCCCTCCTCCCTCCTATTTATCTTCTTCGTCTTCCTCCTCCTCCCTTCCTTCCTTCTTTCCTTCCTTTTCTCCTCTTCCTTCTCCTCCCCTTTCTTCCTTCCTTCTTTCCTTCCTTCCTTCTCTTTATCCTCCTCCTCCCCTTCCTTCCTTCTTTTCCTCCTCTTCCATTTCCTCCCCTTTCTTCCTTCCTTCTTTCCTTCCTTTTCTCCTCTTCCTTCTCCTCCCCTTTCTTCCTTCCTTCTTTCCTTCCTTCCTTCTCTTTATCCTTCTCCTCCCCTTCCTTCCTTCCTTCCTTCCTTCCCTTTACCCTCCTCCCCTTTCTTCCTTCTTTCCCTCCTCCTCCCCTTCCTTCCTTCCTTCTTTCCTTCCTTTCCTCCTCTTCCTTCTCCTCCCCTTTCTTCCTTCTTTCCTTCCTTCTCTTTATGCTCTTCCTCCTCCTCCTCCTCCCCTTCCTTCCTTTCCTTCCTTCTTTTCCTCCTCTAACTTCTCCTCCCCTTTCTTCCTTCTTTCCTTCCTTCTCTTTATGCTCTTCCTCCTCCTCCTCCTCCCCTTCCTTCCTTTCCTTCCTTCTTTTCCTCCTCTAACTTCTCCTCCCCTTTCTTCCTTCCTTCCTTCTCTTTATGCTCTTCCTCCTCCTCCTCCCCTTCCTTCCTCTTTATCATCTTCCTCCTCCCCTTCCTTCCTTCCCTTTACCCTCTTCCTCCTCCTCCCCTTCCTTCCTTCCTCCTTTCCTTCCTTCCTTCCTTCTCTTTATGCTCTTCCTCCTCCTCCCCTTCCTTCCTTTCCTCCTCTTCCCCTTCCCTCCTCCCTCCTATTTATCTTCTTCGTCTTCCTCCTCCTCCCTTCCTTCCTTCTTTCCTTCCTTTTCTCCTCTTCCTTCTCCTCCCCTTTCTTCCTTCCTTCTTTCCTTCCTTCCTTCTCTTTATCCTCCTCCTCCCCTTCCTTCCTTCTTTTCCTCCTCTTCCATTTCCTCCCCTTTCTTCCTTCCTTCTTTCCTTCCTCCTCTTTATGCTCTTCCTCCTCCTCCTTCTCCCTTTCCTTCCTTCTCTTTATCCTCTTCCTCCTCCTCCCCTTCCTTCCTTCTTTTCCTCCTCTTCCTTCTCCTCCCCTTTCTTCCTTCCTTCTTTCCTTCCTTCTCTTTATGCTCTTCCTCCTTCTCCTCCTCCCCTTCCTTCCTTCCTTCTCTTTATCCTCTTCCTCCTCCTCCCCTTCCTTCCTTTCCTCCTCTTCCTACTCCCCCTTCCCTCCTCCCTCCCTCCCTCCCTCCCTTCTATTTATCTTCTTCCTTCTCCTCCTCTCCTTCCTTCCTTTACTCCTCCTCTTCCTTCCTCCCCCCCCCCCACGGTTACAGGCTCTGCTGTTTCCCTGCTTCCCAGGGAGATGGCCCACGTGCCAAGCAACAGCCCAGAACCCCCCCCCCTCATTCCCCCAATGGAAACAACCCTTGTTCCAGGCCTAGAATCCACTCTGCCAAGTGCACATGGGGGGGGGAGGGCTGGCACTACCTCCCTGCTCAGCAGTGGGGGGGGGGTTGCATTGAAGAGGTCTCCCTCCTCCTACCCAGCTCTCTCCGGGGTGCCCTTTCCCCCCCCCATCCCCTTCTCCCCAGCTGCATCACCAGGGTTGATCTCCCTGGCCTTCCAGCCCCCGTTTCCCCCCCCCTTTGCAGACCCTCCCCATTCTGAGGGACCTTCCCCACTTCTGGTACTCCCCCCGGCTGTTTTCTGCCAAGGCAAACAAAGGATGCAAGGAGATGGCACCCCCCCCCCACCTCCATTTTGCCCCCAGGGGGTGGGCAATTGGGGGTCAAGCCATGCCTGGCAGGGGAAGAAAAATAAACAGTCCTTGCCCTCCCCCCTCCCCAGCTGGTGCAGGTTTCCCTGGCCGGCAGGTAGGAAAGACCCCCCCCACTCCCTCCAGGGACCCTTGCACCCCCAGCTCCCATCAGCTGGCCACGCTGGCTGCCTTATGGGAGCTGTAGTCCGCAGTGCCCGCAGCCTGCCTCGTCTCCGGGTCCCGGGCACCTCGGTTCCCCACAGCTTTGCCCGCTGAGAGGATCTATTTGTCTGCCCGGATCTCTTTAATCTCGGTTAATCACTGACCCAGATGACAGAAGCCTGGGGGGGGGAAAGAGGGAGAAAGGGGGGGCAGGAAGGTGTCAGGGGAAGGAGAAAACTCGCTGGACGGCAAAAAAACGAATTGGTTTGGTGCTCTTCATCCCTCCCCAGGTCTGCCACCCGTTTCCCCATCTTATCCCAGTTTGCCCAGCGTGTGCCAGCCGTGCCAAGGTGCTCGGGAATTCTTGCTGTTTGGGGAGTGTGGGGGGGGCTCCCTCCCCTCCCGCTCAGCCCCTTCCCAGAGGATCAGCAGCTTTATCTGTCTGTGGCACTCTCCATCTCTCCCCCCCCCCGCTCTCTTTCTCGGGAGGATTAATTCCTCCGGGCACACGAGGTGCTGACGGCCCGGGCATTGCCACAGCAACCGGGCGCTGCCTCCTCCTTCTCCTCTGCGCGCTCCCTGTGACCGGCCTCCCTCTAGGCCGGTGTGAGGACTGTGTGTATGTGTGTGTGTGTGGGGAGGGGTGGCTGCTGTGGGAGCAGGCCGTGAAACGTTGCAAAAGCCCCAAGGAAAAGGACAGAGGCTGGGCACTGATGCCCGGATGCCACTGGCTGTCCACAGCTGGACGTAGCTCAGTAGAGCTCTGATGGTGTGACCGAGTTTGGGTAATGACAGGTCTGCTGGAAAGCAACCCAACTCAGAAAGTACCAAGGAGCCTAGAGTCTCCTCCTGCTCCTCCTCCTGCTCCTCCTCCTCCTCCTCCTCACACTGGTGTTGTTCCCTAGTTGGGTTATGAAACGTCTGCAGCAAAACCATCAGGCTCAGAGGGCACCCAGGACCACACAGTCGTCGTCGTCCTCCTCCTCCTCCTCCTCCTCCTCCTCCTCCTCCTCCTCTCTATAAACCCCACTCCCTTCTAGCACTGATGATGTTACCTAGTTGGGTCATGAAACGTCTGCAAGAAAACATCCAAGCTCAGAGAGCACCCAGGACTCCACAGTCCTCCTCCTCCTCCTCCTCACACTGATGTTGTTCCCTAGTTGGGTTATGAAACGTCTGCAGCAAAACCATCAGGCTCAGAGGGCGCCCAGGACCTCACAGTCGTCCTCCTCCTCCTCTCTATAATCCCCACTCCCTTCTAGCACTGATGATGTTACCTAGTTGGGTCATGAAACCTCTGCAAGAAAACACAACCAAGCTCAAAAAGCACCAAGGACCCCACAATCCTCCTCCGCTTCTTCCTCCTTCTCACACTGATGATGTTCCCTAGTTGGATCATGAAGCGTCTGCAGGAAAACCACCCAGTTCAGAGAGCACCAAGGGCCCCACAGTCTTCCCTTCCTTCCTCCCTTCCTCCCTTCTTTCCTTCCTTCTCCTCCCTT